GGTTGTGATTCTGGATGTCAGAGTTCCGTGTACACCTGTTGCCAGATTGAACAACCACAGAGCATGTGTGAATGGCATTGCCTGGGCACCACACTCTTCTTGTCATATCTGCACAGCAGGTAAGCATGGATTATTCTTGTCACCTCCCTACAAGTTGATTGTTGGGTGTTGGGTAACCCACATTATTTAAACAGAATTGGATTGCCTCACTGAATTCAGTTATATCCCAGTCCAACGCATGTTATTTCAGACATTCCGTAGATGTCATTTACAGCCACATTAATATAGGATTGTAGTCCTATATTATGCATATTACATAACCATAGTTTGCTTGGTTTGTATGTTATAGGCCCAAACATTGATCAAATGAAGCAGCTTCCAGCCATTTTGGGAGCATGGTGTTTCGATGGCGCATGCCCACAAAGTGGCTGGAAGCTGGTCTGACACCATGCTCTGGTCCAAAGGACTGGATCAAGAAGGAGCTGTTTTAATCTGACTCCTGCAGTGTGTGGCTTGGGACCTGCGGCAGCGGCCCACTTTGGAAGTGGGCCATGCAGTCCCAGCCCAGTCGTGGCCAGCTGTCTGTTCTGCCCCATAGTTGCTTTATCTTTTGTTTTTCTCTAATCCAGATTCTGACTTTCATTTACTTTATCCTAAGCATAAAAATTAATTGGTCCCCCTTAGTAAGTCAGTTATAATTAGCATTTTATGAAGTAATGAAGAAAAACATAGAATATAAAATGTAGGTTGTAGAAGTTAAGTGCTATGCTGAAAGTTGGTTTAATCTATTTCATTTCAAATTACCTTAAAATTCCTAGCTGTGAGCAACAAATCTTGAGGGACAATGCCAAATGTTTGGGTGTTAAAGTAACTGGGTGTATGTCTAATTAGTACTAAGTGTAATACATTTGTTATAGTAATTTTGAAGCAGATACATCAGCACAATTTTAATGTTTAATGTTAAGAGAATTGCTGCATTTGTAAGTAAAAAATAATAATAACCCCGTAACATATGGATAGCTGTCCCTTAGCAATCTAATCTTGTTTGCTTGTGATTCCTCCCCCCAAAAATACAGTGGAAAAACTAGTATCTAAAATGAGGAATGCATTTTGATTTATTTGTACATTCCTTTCTATTATACTTCTGACTACAGGGACTGCTAAACATTTTGGGGGGAAATCTTTTACGTAGCTCTAATTCTGCATTTTGATTTTGGCAGCGGATGACCATCAAGCACTTATTTGGGATATCCAGCAAATGCCTCGTGCTATTGAGGACCCAATCTTGGCTTACACAGCAGAAGGAGAGATCAACAATGTACAATGGGCATCAACTCAGCCGGACTGGATAGCTATCTGTTACAACAACTGTCTGGAAATCTTGAGAGTGTAAAAAAATGTGAACCATATGGAAAATTGAAGCAGGATTGTAGTGTTTCCCTGCTTCTAAAGTTCAGAAAAAAACTGCATTTAGACAGTGTCACAAGCTCTTTTCAACTTGTTCTAGGAAGACTCAGAAGTGGAGTTGATGGGTATATTTTACTAACTTCTCCCTTTCTCTCTCTCTCCTACCCCCCTCCCACCCCAATGATTTAAAAATTGCAGGGATATGCTGAGCCTTTCTGACTTTTTGGGATTTTATTATTGCTTTCAATTAAAGTTATGTATATATGACAGCTGTTTGTGTTGAGCATTTGTATTAAATTAGCAATGGTTCTTACTTGCAGTTAATATCTTAGCAGAAATAATTTATTACTGCTCTAGATGCCTCATAACACTGCTCAAAGTTCTAGTGACGGGATGCAAATAACTTTCCATAAATACTTTTATTCTTAGTTTCTTTCTGTCTGTTGTATTTGTTGATACTAGGGGTGATTCTTGATAAGGGCACTTCCCGTAAATAAAGATCTTTTACTCTTTAAACTTGTCCAGCTATAAGTGGGGGATTTGTGGATGTTTCAGAAGATGTCACAGAACACATAGGCTCTTGTAGAAATATCCCAGAGTGAAGCTTTAACCTGCATGAAATATGTTACTATAATTTCTTTCCTGCTCTCCTTTCTTTACAGCAACCTCCTCAGAAGTTATAGTTCTGATAGACAGGTAAATGCCTACCATCTAACTGGAGAAGTTTCATCTTAGTTCTGCATTAAATGTGCATTGCAATCCACTGTCCATCTATGCCCCTCACCAAAATGTAGGAAATTCTTCCACCACAGGCAATCTTATTTAATCTGAGAGGCAGCAATCATTTTCCCAAAAGAACTGTTGTCTTCAACCTTTGAAAAGCAATTTTATTCCAGTTACTTCTGCAGTGGGGTGTATCTAGCATAATGCAAAATTGCTTACCTAAGGTAGTATAGAAAATACACCTAGTATAAGTGTTGGTACTTGCTGTTAAATATGGGGTTGCACTATTTTTCTTAGAACGATAATATGACTCAATTCATGTAATAAATTACAAAATATTCAAGGTTCTTTTCTGTAGACATATTGGGATGGTTCTTATTCCCATATTATGTATGCTGAAGCTTCAGTAGTGCCATCTGTTTGTTTGTGCACATTTTCTCTCACATGTTAAATATCGAATGTATTTATGATTTTTCTATTGCCTTCTCAAAAGGATGGCTTCCCCATAGTTTAGAGAGGAGAGCAGAAATGAATGCCATCAGACCATTTTTCCATGATAACATGAGGCACTGGAGAAGGGAATACGGTGGAAAGACTCTTTCAGATATAATCAGCAGCGATGTACATAGTAAGATGAAAGGACATGTGACAAACCTATTATTTGTTTTGTAGTACTTGAGTACAGTGGTGGGAAAATGTGGTGACTGATGTATAAATGTCTTTGTTGAAGATATACCGGTTCTTGCCCTAAGACAAATGTGTAGTCTGAGAGTGAACTGCTGACTTCTCATCTTTTTTCCTCCTCTCCCCACCTCATCCACCAAACTTTACTAGTTAAGATGTAGAAGTACAAGCACATTGGAACAGGATTAAATCCAAATGTTCAGTTTAATTTCTTTATATTAGCTGGACAGTACTGGTCTAAGGCTTGTGGACCATGGGCATGAATACAATTAAGGATGCACTCAAGTACAGAACTAAAACATACATACAATGTCTTTGTAAAGCAGTGTGGGGAGATGTTGGATTATTGGTTGAGTGACTAATATTGATTTGTGGTATCTTTCAAAAGGAACAAAGATGTTCTTTATGTACAGGACATGAATTAATATGATCTGATTTTTTTTTTTTTTTTACTAACCTGTACTGAACTGTATGATGTTACCTTATGTTGTGTATTCCCAGTGTGATTTCCTAAAGATGTGAACTTTGTAGCATGACTTTATAAATTCCCCAACTTTTTGTTCTTTCAAATAAGCAATAGCACTGACTTTACTTATATTCCTCTTTTCCTTTTTTTGGTTTAGGTGTTTAATATATTTTCTTACCCAATATTGTTGGATAAAGTAGTTACTGACCTAGATTTAATATTTCTTTAATGTGGCAGACAATGGTTAACTTGTTGCAATATTCCCCTTTGGTTTTTATGAAGAAATTATAATGAAATGGACTTTATCTTGATTTTGATCACCTGATTTCTGGAACTGTATTGAAATGCTGTAAACATTTAAAAGTTTTTTAAAAGGTTTGAAGTAGAATGCTGGAATTTTTAAAATGTTGATCTTGCTTCCTCTGTATATTTTAATTTGTTCCATTTCTCTTTCCCTGTGTGTATTCTGTCTTTCCTACGTTTTAATAAACTGAGACATTTCTAAATTACTCATAGTGATCAAAAGCAGGGAAGACCGAGGTGAACATCTACCAGTTTGTCTTACCTTGCTGAAAGTTCACTTCTGAATGTTAAAAATGAATTTAAACATGCATAGGTTTCCTAGCTTCCTGAAATCTCAGATTAATATACTAAACCAAGAATAGTCCAGCATCCTAAAATAAAATATTGTGCAAACACATGTAGGTAAAACTGTAAGGAAACTTTTATTTGAACCTCTAAATAAGGTTCATGCTGTCAGGAATGTACTTGCAAGTCTGTATCCATCAGTCAAAAGTCTGCAAGTCTGTATCCATCAAAAGGGCTAGGCAACCTTTCCCCTTTAAGGGCCAAGGGACTTCAGCTCCCAGAAGCCTCAGCCTTGTTGGCCAATAGCTCCTGGGATTCTGGGAGCTGAAGTCCCTCAGGCCTTAAAGGGGAAAGGTTGCCTACCCCGATTTACAGTATGAACTCTATGTGGTAAGCGTCACTCTGTGCACATCTGTACCTTTCCTTTCAAACCGAAATGAGGTTTAGTAAAGCACACGCAGACAAAAGAATAGATAACTTTGTATGGAGCTTGGGAAGGGAATTGGGGTAAAGCTGGGCTAAAATAATGAAATGTACATGGTGTTCTAGTTGGAGTAAATAGGATCTTTTTTTTCTCTCATAATCCCTTATTTTACCCATCCCACTTAATACTTCTGTTGAAGTTCATAATGTATGTACAGCTAAAGATTCCCCCATCCCTGGATTAAATACCGTATTTTCCGGCGTATAAGACGACCCCCCATTTTTTCCAGTCAAAATACAGAGTTTTAGAACCTCTATCCTCCTTATCCCCGGCATATAAGACGACCCCCCACTTTAATCACAGATTTTGCAGGTTAAAAACTAGTCTTATACGCAGGTAAATAAGGTATTTGAGGTAATTCGTGCCACACTGTTTGGGCTAGCCTTCAGATGGTTCCTGAAACAATAAGAAATATATAGACTACCTGTAAAAGTTTATATCGGTGATTAGGGTATTGCACACCAAAACAAAATTCTTTAAAAGCGCATGACTTCAGTAGACTTATCAGGATAGTCATTGGCAGAATAGATAGTAGACTATTATGATAATACCAACTATGTCAAGCTGAGTATTCTTGACATATGAAATATGGGGGGGCTCATTGTGGGAGCCTGTGTGGTGTAGCGGTTTTGAGTGTTGGACTAGGACTCGAGACCAGGGTTCGAATCCTGGCTCTGCCGTTGAAACCCACTGGATGACCTTGGATGAGTTACACTTTCTCAGCCTCAGCGGATGGCAAAGGCAAACCTCCTCTGAAGAAACTTGCCAAGCAAAACCCAATGATAGGGTTGCCATAAGTCAGACACAACTTGAAGGCACGTAACAACGTTGTAGCAAAAGCAGGTATATGTCTATACTGCTTATCAGTGAACTAGCATTCCCTAAGTTTGCAATGCATATAAGCCAATTTACTTATTTTTGCGCCCTACAAAAAGACAGAAGGTTGAACGGACCCTGGAGTCTTCCTCTGGGATCGAACTCACAACCTCGTGGCTGCAGTACCGGCATTTAACCACTGCGCCATTAGCGCTGTAAGATGTTCTTCGTCTCTGCCCAAGTCGTACCTTAAAATGTACAGTAGCACTTGGGAAGTTCGAGCCCTTGGGGTCACGTGGGGATCGCGGCTGAAAGAAACACGGGAGAGTTCTACGTCCCCTGATTGGATGAATCCAGCCTCTCCCCTCCCGCCCACTTTGCAGTTGACAGTTGCGGGAGCACCGCCCACTTCGCGCATGCGCTAGTTTTCTCCCTAGCGCGGGCGCGCGCGCGCACGCATTCTCAGTCAGTCTCCATCCCGCTGCCGAGGGCGCGAACGCTGAGGGAGGTTGACCAAAAGGCAGCGCGCATGCGTGGACGCCAAAGCCTTGTCTAGCCATCTTCGCGCAGAGTAGTAGTAGTAGTAGTGTTTAGTGTCGCCGAAGGAAGAAGTAGAAGAGACCGACGACGGAAGGCGGGCATGGGAGGAGCTGACGCCGCAGCCGCCTCTCCTTCTCCTTCTCC